ATCTATGCATTAGCTAGCAAATTGTTTACTCTGCCATCATGTGCATAATGCCGACAGTAAGGCTCTTATTGTCATATAGAGTGAGGAATTATTCACTATTTCTTTTTAACATTAGATGATGGAAGCTACAAACTGAAGAAATTCTGCCCAGAAAGCAGCCAATTGTCTTATACAGCTGCTCAAAGATGAACCTTCCACTGGTGATAAGTCTATTCAATCAGATGGTGGTTGTGAGCTTGAAGTTAAAGATGTTGCTGAGATGTCAGATAATGATGACATTGTGGATGGTGTATATTTAGATCAGGGCCATGTTTGAGTTGAATAGCCACTTTCAGGAACAATCTGGGAGAAAGTGGTTCAGGGTTCCACATACACCTTTAAAAACTTCTGGTGCAAATGTTTTTAGTAGTAATCAAGAAATTACATAGACTGTGAAGACAAAGCAAGAAGCTTTGGATCTTTTTTTGACCTGAAATTATCGAAATGATTGTAAAATGGACAAACAAATATGGTGGAAATGCAAGAAAACAGGCTGGCAAACTTTTACAATGACAGAACTTCATGCATAGTTTGGTCTTTTTACATGCTGCCAAGTGTCAAGAGAATCACAAAAACATGGATAGTGGCTTTTTTGAGGAATTGGAGAGCCAAGTTCAAATTCCAGTCGAATCTATTACATTTCCTTGCATGCTAATACCCTTGGGGAAGGTATGAATCCTCTTCTTCACACCCGCTATGGGTAAATAGCACAACAGACAGGGTTCTATAGCCTTGGATGGCAATTGGTCTACCACAGAAAGAAATGTCAACCTACTGTCTTGTTAGGCAATCATGTATCTTTCAATACATGACTAAGTGTGTATCCCACATGGCACATAACTGACTACCTTCAAAGCCAAATAAATATGACAAAGGTTTTTCTTCTAGTGGATTGTAGCACTGGATATATCTTTGATGGAATACCATATACATGCAAAGGAGCTGATGGAAAAACTATAGTTGGACTGGCATCCAAAGTAGTTAAGCAATTAGTTGAGCCATTTTATAGAAGCAAAGAAATATCGCCACTGATAATTACTTTACTTTACAGATTTTAGCTTCATTGAAGAAATTTATTGAAAGATGCTGACACATGTTGGAACAGTTTGAAAAAACAAACAAGACACCCCAGAAGGCTTCATCAATACTAAAGGGCTTCCTGTTGGCAGTTGCTGCTTTCCATTTGATCAAAATGTGACCGTGGTTTCGTTCATTTTAAAGAAAAAAAATGTGTCATGCTTCTTTCAACAATGCATAAGGTGGATGGGAAAACTGACATAATACTGTTCTACAATAGTACCAAAGGAGGAGTCAATACAGTCAATCAACTTCCACACACTTATTCAATGCAGTGCAAAACAAAGCATTAGCTTACTTCATGAATGTTCTCCACCTTTCTACTATCAACACTTATATTGCATTTATGCATTGCCAAAGTTGGAAAAATGTATCACTATGTAGTTGGAGTTCACTTTGCTATTCAGAACAAAATGTGCGAATGTGGAATTGAAATTTCTCACCCAACAAGAGAGGATGGTGAAATAAAAACAAAGAAAGCTGCCCAAAAGCGCTATTACAGGTGCTCATGTTGATAGAAAATCCTTAGGTTCATGCCAGAAATGAAACAGGGGTGTCTGTGCTTCACATTCAACCAAAGAGGAAGCATTTGTCTGCAGCCAACCAAAGTGCTGAAGTAATTGCAAACACTGAAGAGTTCTCTCCAAGTACTATTTCATTTCTGATATCATCATGTTCATGTTTGAAAGGAACTAATTTCATGCGTACTAAATATCTTCAATTTTAATTTCTTTAGATCAGTCAGAATCTTTTTAACTTTGCAGTTGCTATACAGCTCTCTAAAGATTGTCAGCTTCTAGGGGGACTGTGCCCTCAATCACATTAATATCTCTAAAGTTCGTTTATTGATAGCAGTGTGCCCAGGACATTTAACTCACCTGGGGTGGGAAGGTAAAACTGATAACCCCAATACTGTCTTCTACATCATTTCCAATGGTAAATCATAAATTTCGTATTGGGTCCATAAAGACCCACCTTGGGCACTAATGTTTAGCTAAGACCATGGGCATCTTAGGGTTAAGATAATTAACTCCACGAAATCGCTAAAAAAATAGCATAGCATGATGAAAAAGACACCAAACTTGACGAAAACAAAATTTTATCGTCTAAATATTCATATTATTAAGAGGAAAGACCAAAGTGTTTTTTAATTATTTAAAAAAAAAAAAAAAAAAAAAACAAAAAACTTTTTTTTTTTAAGAACATTCTAAATTTTGATTAAAAAACCTTGTTTCTCTTTCTATCACCAGAACTAGTAAAATAACAGACAATTTTTAGCACGTTTTTTTTTTTTTTTTTTTTTTTGGTATGACACACATTAATGTGGAAAATCTTGCAAAAATAAAAATAATTGTCGGATGTTAATGAAACTTTCAGAAACTATTCACAGATGATCGAAATTATTATAAGTAATTTTTTTTTTTTTTTATATTTATTACACCACCATAACTAATTTTATGAAAACGCTAGAAACTCGATCGCATCGGGTTTAGTAATTACAATAGTTAAAAGCACAAGGCTTTGAGGAATACAAAACATGTTTTTATTTTTTTTATTTTTTTTTTTTAATTGGACCCCCCCCCTACCTGAAAATCAGCTCTGAATTGTAACATACAAAACTCAATAAAACAAAGATATTATTTAACTTCAAATGCTTTTATTTGCTTTTAGTTGTTTTTATGAATATGGACAATATTTGCTAAAAGCAAAAAATTTTTTTCGATGAAAAATGAATTTTTAATACAATTATTTGTTATTTCTTAATTATAATAGATTTTTACATTTAAGTTGTTAAAATATTATCAAATTAGTTAAAAGCCACATCGGGTTTCCTAAGTGTCCTTATGAGATAGATCTTTTTTTTTTTTAGCACATTGTAAATTGTATCATTTTGACTAATCAGAAGACCTGCAGTAATTAAGAAATCTAATTTTGTGTTTATAATCAGGTCGTAATTATAAAGTATGTCAGACCAACCAGAATACAATTAAGTTGTGTTATTTGTGTTAAGCATTGTTCTCCGCTGTTAAGGCCTTTACTTTTGCAAAACACATGTGGAGAAGTTAATTTGATTTTTCAATTTCAATTGAGAAGCGTACCTACAAGTATCAGTATCATCTTATGAAATTTATATGATCTTATTTTTATATTAATCTTAGTTATGACATTTTTCCATATTTCATAAGAAAGGTACCTATAAATTAATTAGATACCTTTCTTATGAAATATGAATTTTAATCTTGCTCTTAACAGTCTTATTTTAATTTCTTTATAATATATTTTCCATAAAGCATTGTAAAGGTGAAAGCTAAGTACAAAAAAACAAAATTAGAGTGCTGAAAGTTTTCCTTAAAAATAACGAAGTAAATAATTTGTTCACTTAAATCTATATAACTTCACTTTTCGGCTTCAATAGAACAAATTATGATCACGCAAATCTGTCAATACGTCATTCATCACCTGTTAAGTGATGCGAAAGGTTATGACCTGCTTTGTTTTATTTTCAAATTACATCTTTTCGGTGCAGAAGCTAAGTCAACCTTGGTTTAAAATATTTTAAATAAACATTATAATTTCTGATTTTCTTAAAATAAGTTTTGAAAAAATAATTGATTTTTAAAAGAATTTCAAAGTGAGATTTTCATCTTTTTTATAAAATGGAAAAAAATGGATGCCATAATCGATTATCTGTCAATTTTGCTGACTAAGAAAAAAAAAAAAAAGAAAAGATTTTTAATGAAAATTTTTGACGTGCTCAAATGATTAAAAAATGTAAAAAAATACTTTGATCTTTCCTCTTAGTAATAACATTTAGACACTAAAATTTTGTTTCTGTCAAGTTTGGCATCTTTTTCATCATGCTATGCTCTTTTTTAGCAATCTCATGGAGGTAACTAGGTTAAGAGGGCACTTCATGTATTCAAATTTTTTTGAAGCAAGAGCAAGTAATTAATGATTATTTGTTATACTAATGGTTTCAGATACCTTTTGCATTATGAAAATCAGTTGGCAGTTGCAAGAAACTTTTTTTTAAGATGATTAATGGTGGAAAACAGCCCACAAAAAAATTGAGAGACTGGATACAGCAAAACAAAAAGTCCTCATAAAATAAAATGCATGAAAACGTGAGTATACAAGATGAAAGGAATATCCATCATTAAAAGAATAAATGGCACAACTGGTAATGAACTGAAAATCTGGATTAAATCTAACAAAATGATTCAATAAAGAACAAGAAAATTTTTTATAAATTTGACAAAGATTTTTGCATAATGTATATATACAGATACTTCAGTGTCAGCAATTACAGTAGTCCAAGAAAAATACTTCATCCCTCAACAATTCTTGGGATTTCAAGGAGAACGTAGGGAAATTTCTTATCTAGTGAATGCTTCATCTGCACAGAAAATGTTAATAAAAGGTAACAGTCAGCTAAAGTGAAGATTTCAGAGGATGAAGGTAACTCCATTCTCAATAATCAAAAATACTGCAAAATGAATTGTTGGCCCATTAACTATGATCTGCTTTTCTGTGTTTGTCTTTTAGTGGTGATCCAGATGTGAAAATCGGATAACAAAAGGATTCTGAATTTTTCTTTCTTTTTCTCTCCAATCTCTTGATGAATTCTTACATCATTTGTGAAGAAACAAATTTGCCACTCAAAAATTCAGGAATGGAGAAGAGACATTTCAAGATAATTGTCAAGTTGTTATTTTCTGTACCATTTGACCATATTCTATTCACAAAGACTCACACACACACACACACACACACACACGGCATGGACACCCAAACTAAAATAAAATATAAGTCATTCCTTAAGGAGAGAAAAAAAAAAAACTAAGCAATCCGATTTGTTTTGGTTTGTTTAAATACTGACCTTTTTATTGTATATTTAAAAGGTAAGGATCAGCTATTCTTCTGAAGACCGCTAAAAATTTATTTCCCTTATTCCGAGTAACTTTTTGGCCTTCTTCTGTGCTATCATAGAGCTTCTCAACAATTATATCATTTTGCTGGAAAAAAAAAAAAAAAAAAAAAAAAACTTATAAGGCTAAAAATCATGCACATCATATATTTTTTTTTCTTAGAATTTTAAAATATACAAAAAACTGACAGATTATTTTTTAGAATTCAACTTTTATAGAAAAACAGACTTTAAAACAGCACATTAAGATTAATGTAAACTTTTTTATTATAATCGGAACAATTCAAATTAAATTTTTAAGACACTTTTAAATTGCTCACATCAATAGTCAACGTAGCAGAATGCAAATAAATCAAGTAACAGAAAAATATACATTTCTAGATACATTATATTCAAGATGAATTGTATAGAAAGCAAAAGGCAAAATTAATTCTATGAGCATTTCAAATAATTTAATTTTCTTTAAGTTATAGCTTTTATAACCAACAAGAAATTGTCCAAAATTAAGGATGTCACATGTTAGGTGTTATAAACTCAAAAGTAAAAAAAAACAAAACTCATTTTTTGCGTGAATGATCTTGAAAAACAATGCAACTAGAGGCTAAAATTCTGTGATAAAAATAAAAGATGAGGAGACTAGCTGAATTTATAAAATGACAAGACTACTCAACATTTTCAAACACTGAACAACTTACCAGTTCATCATCCTGAACTCTTTCAAATAATGGGAATTCTTCAAAATGTTTTACCATCCATTCATGCACTTCTTTGACATCTGTGATTGTATAAACAAAACCCTGCAAAGAGAATGCAACCAATACATTTCTGAATAAAGTTATCACACAAACTTTAGAGGAAATTAAAATTACTAAAATACTTCAATAGTTTAATTCTAAACTAGCAGAAATACCCATTTGGTCTATAAATGAAGCAATCATCACATATATAATTAAATAAAAGATTGAAGAAAACTATAAACATATGCATATTACAATATTTAAGTATTAACAAACTTATTTGTTTATTTTCAGTATAATATATCCAGTTGCCTGGTTGCTGCATTCTGTCAAGTATTCATTCTGAGTCTCCTTTACTTCTGAAATTTCAGATTGTCTGGTAGCTGCAGTCCACTGAGTATCCATGCTACATCTCATTTCAGTTTCTTGAGTTTAAGATTGTTTAGCTCCTAAAGTCCATTGAGCATTTAATGTAGATCTTCTGTCAGCTTCTTATTGAGTTATTGCTGCAGTTCAATGAGCATCTAATCTTCATCTCAGATTCACTGGTCTCGACTTTGTGAAGCTGCATGCCGTTTTGTGTCTTTTCTCCTTCTCTTGCTCAGCTGATTTTCAGTTTCTTCTGCTCTTTCTCTTTTCTTACACTGGGATTTCTTAGGTGGTCTAAAACGGAACTTTTTGGGAGGCATTGTAGTAAGAGTGTAGCATAATTATTATTTGCAATAGTCAGCTGACAGAAGAGACATCTGAAAGATATAGAGCTGTTTAGGTTTGGTCATTATAGGACTTTTATCAAGAATTCAAATAAATTGTAAAGTTGCATCTTAATGAAATTGTAGTTATTGTATAGATTCAAGTAATGCCTCTTTAGTCCAAATGAGACAAATTTATGGAAAAACTACACTAGGATCCATATTAAAAAGATTAGCTATTATGTAAGTTATAGGAAACTAAATCTGCAGTCTCAATCAAATGTTTGAATGCAAAAAATGAGATGTAAAAAGATGATATGTTTTAAATTTCATTTAAACCAATGGAAACAATTCTTTTGAGGTGGGGGCTTGTGCACCCCTGTAACACCCCCACTTCTTTAAATAAGATATATATAAAGTCTGTGTCATTAGGTGTCATACATAGAATCTCTTAAATTTCATAATCTATCCAATGGTTGTGTTGTTTAGATTTTTAAGGGGCTAAGCCCCCTCCCTTCAGGCTCTATATAAGTACTTTGGGAGTTGGCTTCAAATTATATCAAGGTGACTAAAACATAACCCTATGATAAAAAAAACTGTGATAATAGAGTCTCAAATACTCAAGTTATGGGCCTCCAAAATTTTCAATAGCCCCCAATAAGGTGTCTTGATATTATTGAAATTGGCTGATATTTTGAAAAGAGGTAAATGACTTGAAATGATACCTAAGTTTAAATTTCATTTAAATCTAAAGGGAAAAAATTTGAAATGGGTTTGTGCCCCCCAAATTCAATGGAGATCAGTGAAGTAGTTTTTCTTCCTATACATTTAAAGACAGACACACTTACACACAGACATTCATCTTTATATAGATTTGAAGACCATTATTGGTCTATCAGGGAAACAAAGAATGTTAAAATATAAGGATAGAACTTCACAAAACACTGATATGTTTAAAATAACAGTCATCTTGTAGGTGAGAGTAGCAATGTGTCCAATACAAAACAGTATATTACCAACATCCACAAGACAGTTTTAGAGCAATGGCAGGTTGAAAAAAAAAAAAAAAAAAAAAATGCAAAAGTTTAAAATTCCTAAAACCAATGCACTAATTTCTGTAGGGAATTATCCTCTTGTTTTGGGTTTTTTTTTTTTAAAACTGGGAGGAGAATGCATAATTGCGTGTTTGCTTTAAAGGACATTCAGCCAACTTTATCTGATGTTACTTTTATAGTTATAAAACCAGACTTTATCTAGAAAAACATTTTTCATTTAAATTACATACTCAATTTATAAAATAGCTTTTAATAAGGCAACTTTTTAGTTAAAACACAAAATCTGAGCATTTTAAAAGTCCAAACCAATCCAATTTCACTAGCTTCTGCAACTTAACTTTTTAGTTTCAGAATAAAGTCTAGACAATAAGCCAGATACTCCATTATATTAAACAAATGACAGTTTTATGTCTTTTACTGAAAAGGATTGTCAATTAAGTAAATATAATTAATAGCTAAATTTCAGACTTATGTCATTTCAGTTTTATGCTGCTTTCAAGTTCAGTTTCTTGTATTTATGACAAACTTGATAAAGACTACCGTTTATATCTGTGGATAGGTCACACTCCTATTTCATGGCTTAATAATTGATGATTTACTGCTGATTTGCAGATTGGTTGCACTATAATCTGGGGAGTTACACAGCCCCTTTTAAACATAATTATCGGATTTCTAACTTTATTTCAAAACTTACAATTCTTAATTCACTTTTACAGTTAAAATACATTTTGTCAATCATCATGTAAACAAAATGAAGTAACTGTTGTACTGGTATTTTTATATTTACCGCATATTATTTTTATATCGAGTCAACTCGAAAAAAAAAAAAATAAAAAAATTATGGTACATTTAGGAAAAAAGTGTTTATTTTAAAACCTGCTTAATAACTCTTTCTTTTACTCATGATTAGAGTTTGCAACAATTAAAATTATGAACTTTCAATTTGGCTACCAACTATATCGCTGCACAATGCAAAATAGTGCAAATGTTTTGGGTACTAGATTAATGCACTTTGTTATTTGTAAATAACACTTAAGAACGCCTTTTATGTCATATGAAACAACTATTAAAGAAAATTCTCATAAAGAATATATTTCATTTCTTTAAGTCATATTTTCCAATGTATTTTTTAACAAAATATATATATTTTGCAGAATGAATCATTCTTTGTCAATAAACATCTACATGTGGTTCCTTATGTAGGCATGTTCAGGGTTTTTATATCAGTCTAGTACAAGGACCCCAACTGAACAGTGATTGATGAATATTTTATAATTTTATTTATTTATTGTGATGGATATGTGAATCTAGCAGCATGAGGTAATTTTAAAGCAGCAAGTCAGTATATATGATAGATAAATTGTTACTATATGGAGAAAAACCACAGCTTTAGTGTTTGTGGGTATCTCAGAAATCCTGATAAGGTAGTGTTGTTTTACATTTATATTGAGCTGATAGGTAGTACATCTAATATTTTGTGAATTTTTTAGTAAAAAAAGTGCAACCTATCTGCAAGTATGTATGGTAATTATTCTGAAAACACCTGAAATAGTTGATTTTAATATTAAATTTATCTGTGTTTAAGAATGCTTGGCTTCATGGTCATTATGATCTAGTATATAAAGTACTAGGAGGAAAGAAAAAGGTATTACATTTGACAAACTTTCTGGGATGAGGACTTATTTACATTCAGACTACTGTTTTATTTTATTTTTTCAAATAGACAAACTTATTTCCCTGTATTCTGCCTTAGAACTTAATGACCACAAGATAGTAAGGTTAAGTGCTTACCTGGATTCTTAAGACATGAGCATATTCAGCAAGTAGAGTTTGACTAATAATACGCCATTTGTGTTTGGTCTTTTTAAAGTGAGGATCAGGAAACAGAAAAAACATCTTAGACAGCTAAAATTGAAAGAAAAATATGTGTAAATGTCACTGTTTACTTTTGTGATAACACCAAAGATAATCAGGAGTCAATAAAAAGAAAAAAAAAAATTACATTCAACAAACCAACACTGGTTATACTTTTGGCTTTCTTAAAAAAGAATGGAATTTAAGATGGTCGATTTATTTAGTCTATTTAAAATAATTTGAGACTATAGAACTGCCCAACTGAAGTATGAAAAAAAAAAAAAAAGTAGCAGTTAAAGATAAAGAAAATCTTTGATATTACCTGTCCTTTACTGAAGAAATTTGGTAAGTACTTCATAGCATTGGAACGGATACAAGCTATATTCTGATATTTTCCAGGATGTATTTGGCGTAAAGCTTTTATCCTTTCTTTGACAAAATCAGAAACTTTTACTCTAATCTCAATCCCAAGCATCAACTTATCAGGGAATAAAGGAGACAGAGAAACTGAAAATAAATAAAACCAAAAATTAAGCTATTTATTTATTTTGAGAAAATGATTTTCAAGTAAAAACCAATCCTATTATTTCCTCACCTGACTCTAGCAGGTGAAAGAGTGTGACAATCTCTCCCTTTACTTAAATAAAATGGAGCCTTTTTTTCATAAAGCCAAATGTTTTTGAATGTCTCTACTCCAGTTACTAAAGATGTATAAATTAAAATCCAAATCAATTGATTTATGGAACCAAAAGGCCAGTTGAGTGGAAGTTAGAAACTTTACAAAATTACTTTTTTTTTTTTAAATAGTAAATACCACCTAATGTAAGGCACGAGAGCCACTCAAGATAGAGTATTACAGTCAAAATGATAATGAGAAATGTATGAATGGAAGAGGTGATAGGAAAAGAAGAATATGAGGATATTATTGACCTTTGACTGGAAGAGGTCATGATAGAAGTGTCCAGGGAAGCAATCACATGAGAGCAGAGTGAATTTTCTTCTTACATCTGGCATAAGGAGGAAATGAGGGCAAATCGTCTCGATGGAAGTGGCATACCTTGTCCAAGCTATAATGGTCTGAAATAGTGCAAGAATGGAGCTCATCTAAACATCTACCATGGAAATAGCGATAAAGTAGCAAAAGGTTTGCAGAGTTGCATCTGTAGGAAAGAGGCTGCTGAATGAAAACATAAGTCTTTCTCCACAAGACCACATAAATGATTTTGAATTATCAAAACCGAAAAGTGAGGATTGAGCAGTTCCAGCTCCAATATGGTAGCAATACTCCATTTTGGCTCTAATGAAGAATGTGCTCAAAGGAAAAAGCAAAGAAAGTCTATGAATGAAGAATCCAGACATACAATGGTTTCCAAACCATTTTTTTTCTCTGGGCTGCATTTTTAGAATGAAACCTTGCTTGCACCTAATCAGAATGTTATGTGATAAAAAGTAAATTTAAAAATAAAAAAAAACAGAGAGAGGATTAAAGGGAGAAAAAAAAATAATCTTGTAATTATAAAAAAGCCAGAACATTATCATTGATAACCCTCTCCTCCAATTTGCAGACTATATTCTTAATACTTGATATAATGCAAAAATATCACAATGATAAAATTGGTCAATAATTATTTATAACTATTTATACTGAGATTGATTCATGCAATTACAAGTAACATAATATTTTAAATTTTGAAATTGTATTTATTTTTGGCATATGAATTTTTTCAAACTTTCTAAATCTTTGATTTTCTTTCAATCATTCTGCCTCACCTACCAGCCTCTTCTGATGCACCATTTGCGAACCACTGTGTTAAAAGGATTTGATTGATGGGTTTTATGACATCTCAACCCTTATTGGGTCATGTCAAAATCAGTTTTTTTTTTTAATTTCTCTATTTTATTTGAGTCTGCAGGCATTTACTTGGTTTGGAGGATAGTTTTGTTTTCAAGGTTTATCAACGCTTCAGTGGATTATTTAAAGCCAAAACATTTTGAATTGTAAAAAAATAATTTTGTTTTTGTGTGTGAATATTGCATTAAAGATTTTTCCATATACAAATTTAACCCATAGCTGAGTGGACAGATGAATTCATACCTTTTCCAAGGGTATTTGCAAGTGAGGGAATATAACAAACCTAAGTGGAATTTAAACATAAGGCTTTCCAATTTCTAATTCCAAGCAGAATCCATTACACCATCCACTGATTCAGGGATAAGTAAATATTGGTTGTTTATACTTTTGCCAGTAAGCATTTACTTGGTTCAGTAGGTCCACAATGGCCATTTATATTCGAGTTGGTAAGCATTTAAGTACCAAGTGTCCTATTTTTCTTACCCACTCTGCATTTGAATGCAACCAGTGTTTCCTAGTCTTTTAAAAGACAGAGTTCATGTAAATTTTTCCATGGCAGAATGGTTACCAGGAAAAAAAAAAAAAATGCTAGAAATATTTATGATTTACTTTTTTCCCTTGTTTAAAATTATGCAAATAGTAAACAAACACCCATTCCTTCCCCCATAACTAATTACCTGTTACTTTATAATATAACCATTTATTCTTTGAAGCAAATTAAAATTACTGCAGGATATGTGGTGTTTTCTGGTCTTGCAGATTACGACAGTGAACAGAAAGTTCAATCCTCACTGAATTTTTCATGCTTGTGACCTTAGGCTTTTAAAGCTAAAACTACTAGGAACTTTGTAGCAAAGCAAAGGCATAAAATAAATTAAGGCAGTGCTAATGTTACCTTCATGTCAAAATAATGCAAATTTTTTAAAAATAGAGACTAATCCAAGAAATAAATTTTGTCAACTTACCTAGAAGCCCCCCATAACCACAACCAATATCTGCAAACTCTACTTTTGCAACTTGATCATTAAATATCTGATTTGAAGGGAAGAAGTCTGGGTAATATGCAGACCAATCCATTGCATCAGGTTGACATGGACTTAAAAAAAAAAAGAAAAAAAAAAAAAGAAAGAGAGAGAGAGAGAAATATTAGCCTTGACACTGCGGATACATGATGCAAAAATGCCCCAAACTTACAAAAATAAATTTTATCATCAAAATTCTTAAGATGAAAGATCGAAGGATTATTTATGTCCAAATTATTTTTTAAAATTCTTCTTAGAACCTTGAAATTTTTGGTTAAAAATCTTGGTTTCTGACATCAATGTGGGACCTTAAATTTGTACAGGAAATTTGACGGTTTTTGTTTTTCCAGTGAAAAACAAAAATCTATTCATTACATTATCATAGATACCTCCATTAATTTGATGGAGAAGAAAAAAAAAAAAAAAAAAAGCATATCATGATGAAAAAAAAAGCCCCAAACTTGATAAGAATAAAGTTTTATTGTCAAAATGTTTATCTTATTTATAAATGCAATTAAAAGCTTTTCTAATTAAATAATGTCATAGTTTTATTGCATTTTTTATGATTCAGAGCAGATTTTTGATAAAAACAAATAGATGATTTAAATTCTCCAGAGAGTCTTGCTTTTAACTAATACAAATATGAATAGGCTGGAATTGAAAATTTTTTTTTTTTACGTTTGGCCCAGCTCCACTCACTGCCATAAGAAAAACAAGATGTTTAACCAAAATTTTGAATGAGTGCTAGAAGGGATTCAAAAATTCAAAAAAAAAAAAAAATACTTTAATTATTTTCCTTTTTAGTTTCAATTCTAGGAAAGGAAACAAAACAATATAAAAAAAAAAAACAAAGGAAATTAAAAATTTAGTGATTACAATAGTTAAAAGCACAAGGCTTTGAGGAATACAAATACCTTTTTTTTTTTTTTTAATTGGACCCCCCCCCACCTGAAAATCAGCTCTGAATTGTAACATACAAAATTCAATAAAACAAAGATATTATTTAACTTCAAATGCTTTTATTTGCTTTTAGTTGTTTTTATGAATATGGACAATATTTGCTAAAAGCAAAAAATTTTTTCGATGAAAAATGAATTTTAATACAATTATTTGTTATTACTTAATTATAATAGATTTTTACACTTAAGTTGTTAAAATATTATCAAATTAGTTAAAAGCCGCATCGGGTTTCCTAAGTGTCCTTATGAGATAGATCTTTTTTTTTTTAGCACATTGTAAATTGTATCATTTTGACTAATCAGAAGATCCGCAGTAATTAAAAAAATTTGATTTTGTATTTATAATCGGGCTGTAATTATGAAGTATGGAAGACCAACCAGAATACAATTAAGTTGTGTTATTTGTGTTAAGCATTGTTCTCCGCTGTTAAGGCCTTTACTTTTGCAAAACACATGTGGAGAAGTTAATTTGATTTTTCAATTTCAATTGAGAAGCGTACCTACAAGTATCAGTATCATCTTATGAAATTTATATGATCTTATTTTTATATTAATCTTATTTATGACATTTTTCCATATTTCATAAGAAAGGTACCTATAAATTAATTAGATACCTTTCTTATGAAATATGAATTTTAATGTCACTCTTAACAGTCTTATTTTAACTTCTTTAGAATATATTTTCCATAAAGCATCGTAAACGTGAAAGATTTATTAAATTTATCTGTTTCACAAGATGGTGAAAAAAAAGAAACCGAGTAGCAACATGCTTTGGCCTTTTTGCATGACTCAACAAAGTGAAATTGGTGGCGAGGTTGCAAAACATTGTGGATATTGCGAGCCTGATACCAGTGTACCTGGAAGGGGATGCCTTGGTGTTCTACCTGGAATTGAGGGAGGAGGAACAGAAGGATGCTGAAATTATCAACCTTTAACTTAAAGAAGCTTTCACCAGGGAACCTTTTGGTGTATATGGTACACTAAGTAGAGTGCGCTGGGCCAGGGAATCAGTCTATATTTATGTCAACATCAGGAAATTAGTAGGTTTTGCAGGATTCCAAGGGAGAGACCTCAACAGGATGGTAAAATTGGCCTTTGTGAACAGTTTCCCAGATAGCATCTCCAAAGCCCTCCAGCAGCTTCCCAGAATAAGTTCTATGGAAGTGGGAGAACTATTGCCACATGCTAGGGTGCTAACCAGGAACAAAAAAAAAAAAAAAAAAAAAAAAAGGAGTTGGAGACTGCTGCCATTGCTGGCTAAAGTGACAGAAGACACAAATTACAAGAAGCCAAAAGTTAGGCATCAGCCCCAGAAATTCACCATAAAGTGTTATAATTGTCAGGGGTCCCATATGGCAAAGAATTGTGAGAAGCCGAGGCCAGGTGTCACCTGTTATCAATGTAGCCAGGTTGGCTACATAAGTAGATGTTATTGTCAGGGAAATGAACAAAGAAGGAGCTACTGCGCCAGTAGCTATTCTTATCTATTGGAGGCACTAATGAGTGGACTACCACTAGTAGTAGTAACAACGAATGGGTGAAGTGCAGAAGCCCTCGTTGTCACAAGTGCACTTCCACATTGGTCACTAAAAACATGGATGACAGATGGAGTTGGATGAGAAGTGTCCAAGCAATTGATGGCAGAACAGTGTGGTGCAATGGAATGAGTATGGTCTGATTGGTAGTGTGCAAAACGCCATTCACAATCCAAGTGATTGTTACCAATTGAATGGTTGCAGGTGCCGATGTGGTTCTAGGCATAGATGCAATTATGCAACTGGAGGGCATGACAAAAAAACAAAGGTCTTCAAAAAGGAGGTGGAGCGATGGATTAAAGAAAGAATTCTCTAGCTGTGGACAGGGATGGTTGAAGGAGTACTGCCACTAATTACAGTAGTTCAACCCACAGAACAGAAAGTTTGGCCTATATTTGATTTTCAAGAATTAAATGAATATGTGAAATGTCACACAGGTGGAAACAACATAGATGTGTGTGGAGAGACCCTGCAGAAACAGAGATAGAGATGGATGGGATGAGTCTCGACGATTGGTGCCCTGAACTCTGCTTACCTGCAGATCCATGTTGCTGAAAAATGGTGGAAATATCAGCTGGTCAGGTGTAAAGGCTGAACCTATTGCCTAACCAGGTTAGGCTTTGGCCTAAACTCTGGCCCCAAAATCATGACGGCAGTATGTAAGAAAGTACTATTGGAGAAGGATACCATGAGGAGAGCCACTGGTTTTCACATAGATGATATAATGGTGGATGAAACAGTAGCAATAGTTGACCAAGTGATGTCATCTTGACAGGTTTGAGCTGACTGAAACAACTGGAATTATTGGAAGGGGAGAATATGAAGAGAAAGATGGTGTTCCGAAGAAGAAATGATATTCCCGATGTGCCGGATACACTGAAGGGTATCAGTCTGGTCATAAAATAGGGACTGCAAAGAATTGAAGTGAAAACTGACTTGGCCACAGTGGCTTCATGGGTCAGGTCAGAATTCACCAGAGAAAGGAGGGTGAAGACCAGGTGCATGTGAAGTGATGATTAGAAACTTTTTGAGCACTTATCAAAGAGATTTGAGTTGAAGCTATACATCACATTTGTGTTGTTGGAGAAGAACAGAGCGGATACAATTACCAGAGTGAAGAAAACCTGGCGTGGGGTTCTGAACAAACCCATGAAAAAACAGAACCAGAAACAGTTGCTGTAGGTAGTCAGACTGGACTGAAGGAGCTCCATGACATACATCATTTGGACAGGACAGAACGCTATTCTTGACTAGGAAGGTGGATCCCAGCATAACAAAGGAGACAGTCAAGGTGGTGTTGGGGAGATGCAGCAAGTGTCAGTCCATAAATCCAGCACTAATTAGACATATAGTGGGTGAGCTTCAGGTGGAGGAAGATTGGACCCAGTTGGCCATTGTGACACATTATCGACAGGGTCTATACCTGTCGATGTCTGTATGGAGAGAAATTAGAGTGGAAAATGGATTGAGATAGTTAAGGTCCTTGAGGAGGTGTTGTTGGACAGGAGTCCAGTAACTGACAATGGCACCACCTTCCTCAGCAGCCTTGAAGGAGATATTAGAGTAGGTAACTCTGTGATATCGCTAAAAACAGAGCATAGCATGATGAAAAAGACGCCAAAGTTGATGAAAACAAAATTTTAGCATCTAAATGCTTATGTTATTATTGAGAGGAAAGATCAAAGTTTTTTTTTACTTATTTTAAAAATTTTTTCCTTCTTTTTTAGAACATTGTAAATTTTGATTAAAAAACCTTGTTTCTCTTTTTATCAGCTAGGCTGATAAAATAACATATAAAATTTTTTGCGCGGTTTTTTCCTGTTTGACACACATTAATTTGGAAAATCTTGCAAAAATAAAAATAATTGTCGGATTTTAATGAAACTTTCAGAAACTATTCACAAATGATGGAACTTATTAGAAATATTTTTTTTTTAGTAAAGTCATCGCAGAATTTTTTTTTTTCATATGTAATCCCCACCCCCCAACTAATTGTACGAAAACTCTATAATTTCAATTTTGAGGAGGTTAGTGATTATATTAGTTAAAAGCAGTGTTTTGAGGAAACAAAATCATGTTTTTGTTTTTTTTAGTTGGAGCCCCTCTACCTGAAAATCGTCTCTGAAGTGTAACATACAAAACTCAATAAAACAAAAATATTATTTAATTTCAAAAGCTTTTAATTGCTTTTATTTATTCCAATAAACATGGACAATATTGTCTGAAAGCAAAAAGATATTTCGATGAAAAATGAATTTTTAAAATAATTACCTACAATTATTTTTTATTTCTGCAATCATTATTTTATTTTTACATTATGTTGTTAATTCTTCTAAAATTATGGAAAAGCTTGTACAACGGATGTTGTTTTTAAGTAGATATATATTTACAGATTATAATTTCCAAAACTTATTACAAACTAATGAATGTTCGTATATTAAAAAAAATTAATTTGTCAATAATGTGTTTACCAATGAAAACTACGGAAGACCGGAAGTTTGGTCCATGCAATAAAAATAACGTCACGTGGATTGAGTTTCTATCTAGTATTTAAGGGTTGTTCTTGGCTGTATACGGCCCCTTAATTTAGCAAACTGTTCCTGCTGAAACACGTGTGCATCATTTTCTTTATCATTTTTATTAAGTTAAAATAGGTACTTTCATCTAGTTTTCATCGTTGTCCTGTAATGTTTGGTTGAAATCGGTTGAAAAATGTAGGAAATTCGATCCAATATATAAATGTAACACACACAACCTGGGTTTTATAATAAGTAAGATTCACATTTTGCCTCTAGAAAACTAAAAACATTTCAGTCATTTACACTGGCCAATTTTACTTTTAAATGAAACATATTGTTTGCTTTCAGAAAATACCTAGTTTCATGGGATTCAGATAAACTTTCCTGGTATTTTTCCAGATAAGTCATTTTTTATATATATATATATATATATATATATATATATATATATATATATATATATATAACTTAAAAATATAAGAATCCATTTATTTATTTTTTTCCGAGAATATAGGTTGTGACAAAATGACTTTTACTATGTTTGATTATTTTTACTGGGGATAGAAATTTTTTTTATAATAGCAAATCTGAATTGACTTTAGAGGGGTCTATATGGGCCCTCAAACAGCAGTGCAGCACTTGTATTTTAATTTTTTTTAATAGTATTTATAATTTCTCCAGATAGTATCAACAAACTTATGGTACATAGTACTTAACAAAAAAAAAAAAAAAAAATTGTAATGGCGAAAGTTTTTTTACTTTAAATATTACAAGTTACTACTTAAGTAGGTCCGATTAAAAAAATAATATGTCCATTCTGTGCTTCCGTATGGGAACTCGAATCTCTCGTCAGCTGTCAATAATTTATAGACGTCATCACTCAGCACTGTCAATCGACGGCGAGGTTAAGATCGGCTCTTTTATCTTTAAAAACATTTTCTACGAAGAAAGTAAGTAAAAGTTTCTGTCAAAATATTTTAAATAAACTTCAAATTTTCTAAATTTCTTCGAATAAATTTTGAAATACGTATAATTGATTTTTAAACTAATTTTAAACGAAGAATTTAACTTATTTTTAAAATTTTAAAAATATGGCTTTTGTTCGTTATTTTGTAAAACAAGTTTTTTTTTAACTAAAATTTCGGAAATGCTAAGAATGAGTAAAAAATTTCCAAAATTACTCAAAAAAATACTTTAGTGTTTCTTCTCAATAATGAAATATACTTTTATCATTAAAAAAATTTTTTCCGTTAATTTTCAGACCGTTCTTGTCATGCTATCTATTTTCGCAAAAAAAAAAAAAAAAAAAAAAAAAAAAAAAAAAACGGAGGTACCTATAAGAGGCATTTCTTTAGAGCAGCTGACAGGCCAAGTGGGAATGACAGTGTTGAAAGACATCACCAGACAATTAAGACTATGGTTGAAAAGAACCAAATTTTGTCAAAAGAAGCTGTCTTTTGACATATGTCACCCAAAATGAGCCAGGACGTAGATTCTGTATCGCAGAGAGCAGTCTTCAAATGAGTGGCGGCATCCAAGAGCAAGAGGAGGAATCAATTAATATAAGAATTGGAGAGGAAGTGTGGGTTAAACTTTATATTCACTGGACTACCTGCTGTGACAAACATTCAATCACGAAATGTGTTGGTTGACAGTATTTCATGACAATCTCGATGTGCGACGAGTTATCAAAAATCAAGCCAATGACCATGAGCAGAGTGAAGATCATCAAGCAAGTGACAACAATCAGTGATGACCATCAAGCTAAGACCTAGCAAGGATTGCAATGGGAAAGGCATCCTTCTGATTGGACAAAGGACTATGTCATGTGATAAGTGATCATAGAGATCACAGGGTGCATATGGTTGGATGGAATCACTAGGAAGGACATCTGGGTTCGTCAGTGCTCCATTCTGAAGTGCCCATAATCCTATCATTAGAGAGAGTGATTAATTTCCCATTATAAATACACCATCATAGAGATGAGAGATGACTCTCTTGAGGGACGTCGTGCTCTACATACAATTGCAACAGGTAGGAGAGGAATGAACACACGAACGATGAAGTGGATACCGGAAAGAGAACAAAGAAAATACCAAGAGGCCAGAAACACCCACTCAGAAATCTTGTCCTGAAACAGTTGTTGATTTCTTTTGACCACAGTCCTGAAAATAGAAGATCTGACTATGCATTTTGCCATTTAGGCTTCATCAGATCAAAAGTGACAGTGAAAGAAATAGCTTTCAATCTGATGATGCCTAAATAGAGAAATGCATAATCGGATATATTCTTGAGTCAGCATACTTTCATGAACTCTTTCCAATTATCAATTATTTATATATATATATATATAAATAAATAAAGGTGTTCCATCATGTAATTTTTATTTCCCTTATCTCTTTACTTAAATTTTTCAAACATCAAGCTGTCGATACATCATTCAACATGTTAAAAGAAAAAAAAAAAAATCTGCATGTTAAAAATGCTTTCCTGTGATATTTTAAACAAAAAGTAATATTTATTTCAATTCAGAAACTTTAAATCAGCTGATTATTCTCAAATAACAAAAGGTATAAGTATAGTTTTTTTTAATAAAGAGAATTACGTTGTGTTGACAGTTATCAGTATGGACAATTTTATTGATTTTTTTTTTTACTGATAATTAGAAAAAAAAAATTCCAATCAATTTAAATTCGGTCTGAAATACAGCAAGATATTTTGCTTGTTGGAAATATTAAATTAAATTTAAATCTATCAGCTTAGAATTGAAACTAAAATAAACTAATTAAAAGCTTCAGAAAAGATTTTTCGTTTTTTAAAATGCATATTTTGAAATCACTTTTTGAGGTGGGAGAGATACCTAAGTAAAATTATTCATTCTACCAAGTTAAAAGTGTATAGACGGAATAAAAATAAAATTAAAAACATTATTGGTTATAAGTTAAAAAATAATTTATTTTTAAACAAATTTAATGTTTACATTTTAACGGAAGCTCGATGAGATGCCTGAAATTTTTTTTTTTATTTACCTACGGAAATTATTTTTCTTTTCATACAGATTAGCGTTGTCGTTAACCTATCTTTCAAACAAAACTAAAATTTAACTTCAAAGACATAAATTATTTAAAATGCGTGTTTTGGTTGTTATCTTTTTTAGTTAAGTCCATAGCGCCAAGTAGTTTAAATTATTGCTTACATTATATAAGCCGAAGCGGTTTACTTAAGGGATTTAATCTCATTAAATCGAGGATTTAACTACTAGGATATAGAAAGAAATACGCGTAGTGAGCATAGCTGGTGGCCATTTTTATCTGTAGAATATTACGCTGCATATATTATATCACTACTAAATATTTTCGAAATAACAAACTCATTCCAATTCAATCATTAATTTTTAAAAATTATAGGAATAATTCATGATGTATACATTTAATCTTACACAATTTCATTTAGAAAAATATACGTTTGGAAAATGATAATAATAAACATCTAACCAGTTGAATGTTAATTTCGACACAGCCAAGTTTATGGAAACTAGTTATTTTCTACTAATGCCATAAAATAAAAGTACGACTATCAGCAACAAAGCTTGTGTATTATAGAATTAATTTTTTATTCGTTTTGATATTAAAATTTTTAATATGGGATTGAAAACAGCATTTAGATTTGACTTTAGAATAAGCATTTTCATTTATTTCAGATTTTAACCACGTGTTCATGGGCGCCGCCATCATTATTTTATTTAGACCTATTACCAAGAACATTTACTATTTATCAAAAGTTCAAACTAGATAAACCACAGTAATACTTACTAATCAAATGTATGGTCAGCTATTGGGTTGGAATGGGCTCGTTGCCGAAAATATTTTTTTTGTGGCAATTGACATGGCTTTTGCATTACCGGAAAAAATATGCACCTTTCTGTATCACAATAAATTGAATAAAGCGCGCATGTGTAATAAGTACTTCCGGGTATTTAAAAAATAAGGAGCGACGAAATAAAATTTTAATGGAACGAAACTTTACTTAAAAATGGACTCTAATTAAAAATTAAAATTTATTCTTTTTTTTAAACAGTTTTTTTTTTTACGTAAGTAATTTTATTTTGAAATTTAGATAATGACATATAAACAGACATACAAAGTTAAATTTTTAAACCATTGGATTATTTCATTTTTATTGTGCTGTGGTAAGTGCGATTAAGTATTATTAGTTCATAAAATATCTATTTAATGACGTTGTATGTAGTAAACAACAAATTAAATTAATAATAAAGATATGCTAAAAATTACTTACATGAGATCTCGCTTGGACGAGATTTGAGTGACATGGCGGCTCTCCATGTTACTCATTGTTGTTACCGCTTTAGGAATTTTGATCTGAAAATTGAACTTTGTTGGCTTTAGTTTCGATTTCATGTCACCTTAACAAAAAAGGAGGCCGTTTACGTTCCCTAACCTTCGAAGGCAAGGTGTTGGACTTTGTCTTCCTATAAACAACGTCTATAAAATGAAGACGAAAATAATTTATAGTTGAGTATGTAACGTTTGTTAAATTATCCTTTTTAAATTTAACGTGTTATATTTGCAAGGTAGTTTGTTTACGATTGAGAAAAAAGTACAGCTGACAATTAAGAAGACACATTTTTCACTTGCTGTCAAAAAAAATCTTCATTTAAATTTATTTGTAATTTTTTTTGTTTATTGCATATATATTTTTTCTTTTAAATTCAGTCCTTATTACCAATTATTGTTTACATTCATCAAAGAGGCGTGGTTTTTGTGTCAACCGAAAACAATAGTTAAGTTGTGGACTAAGTTTTCCATGCTCCCTAGAACTATAAAAATCACATAAAGTTATTTTGATCAACACTCACTCTTAGTTTATGAATTTAAAACTATATGAATGTTTCATTTTTAAACACTGACTAGTCGCAAAAATGACGTATCTTCCTTTCGTAACACCCGGAATAGGTCTGTTTTTTAGCGATTAATTATTAAAAATATTAACTTAATTTTTTATTTCAAAGTTTATAGTTTTTAAATCTTTACTTTCGAAATGTAATTATTAAAATAATAAAAAAAATCTATTCTTACACAAGTCCTAGAATACTTGATTTTTAGGCGAAAAATTGCTTTTTTTTTTTTTTTTTTTTAAGATCAGATTTTATTTAAACTTTAAAAAAGCCTTGTGCGTAAGGATGAAATGAGATTTTGTGTACCTTGTTTAAAAATGGGCCAATATCAATCGTTATCTCCTGTCTTCTTAATTTTTAGTCAATGTTTTTTTCCTTTCATAACACTCAGTAACCCCTTTGCCTTGCGTCTTAGTGGCTCTATTGCCTTGCCTGTCATGAAACTACTGACTTGTGAAATGTTGAAAAAAATAGAAACGTTAGAAAATAAAATAGAAATCAGCTGAAGAAAAAAATGTGATTCTCTAAGTCAAGTCTGTTTCCTTAATACTTCTGAAAACTTGCACACACTTCAAACACGGCGGCTGTTTCGACAGATGAATTTGCATAAAACTCTCATCTCCGTTTAAAAAACATTGCATTTGAAACCGTAATATTTTCATTACAACGAATTAGAAATTATAAAAATAAAATTAGTTCTGTTTGGTTTGGCACTTTAAAAATGGTGTACAAAGTCACAAAACTTTTTTGTCAATACAATTTAAAAATAAATTCTTACATTTTTTTTGCACCTATTTTATGTTTTTATTAACCAACGTCGATATTTTTTATTTCTTTTTGAAATTGTTTATGAAAATGTCTCTGCATCATCTATACTACGAGAAAACAATACCAGCCAATTGAAAAATGATTAATTGTATTATTTTTTTAAAACAATAAAAGATAAACAAAAAATAAATATGTTTATGCAAGTCAATAAATTAGTTTAGCTGTATATTTTGAGAAGTAAATGTCGATAAATTTTAAGTTTTTAAGATCAATCAATCAATTAAAAAATCCATCTCTTATAAAACAGTTTTTGGTAAATTCCTTTATGTGCCATGCCCTTCATGACGTCGCCGATCATGACTCTCCACAACTTCCTGTCTTTTAGCTCTTTCTCTTAGTAAGATTTGTTTGTCTTTTTGCTATCTCTCATTCATTTTTACATAGGCTCGTTAGCTCCTTTCCTGTGAGTGTCAAATTCTCTAACAAATAACTCTTTTTCCTCATTATGTGCTCGAGAAATTTTAAAACTTTCTTTTTGATTCAAAATTTAATTGTCCTTTACGTGCCATTTTCCATAAAACTTCGTCGTTGCTCAATGTTCAGTCAGTCTTTCTCAACATCTTTCTGTAGAACTATATTTCTGTTGCGTCAAGTGTCTTCTGTGAGATTGTCCAATATTCACTGCCATATAGAACCGATATTAAACAGTTTAACATTCTTTCCTTTGTTTCTAATGAAATTTTCCTATTTTTTAAATATTTAGCTTTTGGACGGTATCATTAGTTTGCTATTCCATTGCGTTTGATTTTCTAGATATCTAAATTTTGTACTTGCTTGATTTTGGTGTCTGCAATTCGGAAATTGCATCTTGGGTGGTTTCCTTTACTGACAACAATACACTGTATTCTTACAATTGCTGTTTAGTTTAGTACTTTTTTCTCGCTTTCCTTGTCGGAATTCTCTTCAAATATGTTTGCTAGTTTGCAACTTAACTTCTAATCTAACTGGTTATTTTTAGTTCAAATTCAGAATATATTTAGGATTTTAAATATTTTGTATCGGCAATAAAAAAAATGAATGTCACTACGATTTCACAATTTTTCTCTTAAGTACATAAAACATGATAAAACTGAAATTACATAGGCATTGATTATTGATTTGACAGTGAGGTTGTACCCACCGTCATGCAAAGAAAGCAATAATTTAAAATAAATTAACCAGTCTGGTCAGGCCTATAAATTCTTTGTTTTTAAAGAAAATGATGCCTAGTAAAAATTATGATGGCTTACTTACACTTCGAAATTTGTTAATTTAAAAATACTCTAAATAAAAAAAATAACTTCGTTAAATTAAAAATTACGTGATTGTGAATTATTTTAAAATTTGCTATATTTTTCTTGGTCAATGCAATTTATTTTATTTCAAAACTTTTATTTATCTTTTATTCGTCGTCGACTTGATTGCGTATCCAAGAATTTAATTTCTTTGCTGATCGATTCTTTTATGGCTAGTAAATAAGTAATATTGACGTATCAGCAGATTTCATACTATAGACACGTGTGACGATAAGTCTGGTCATATTGAATAACCAAGGGAGATAACTTAGCTGTCTCTTTCTATTATTATTATTGGGCTCGCTAAAAGATAAATAAAATATCAGCATGCAGTTTTAATTTTCTCTTTTACTTGAACAAAAATGTTTGGGAGATCCCCTATTAAATTATGAATCAAGTTCACTGTTGAACTTGTTTCAATAAATGTGTAATAAGGCTCTTTTTAGTCTTGGATTTTGATTATTATTGAGCGAAGAAGCGCATTATCGACTGAAAGATAGCAGATTACATTTTTAAATTTTTTATATACGTACCACAAATAAAACGAGTTTGGTTCAAATTCAAACTGCCTTTGAAAATTGATAAAAATGGAAGTTTATAAACATTGCAGTTGTTAACTTAATTTTTTTTTTTTTAGGTGGCTGGTCATTATAGCAGGGCAACTGTAGAAAAGAAAGCAATAAAAAAAAGTAAAAGAAAACTATCTTTTAAAAATTTGATAGCAAGTAGAAAACAAACCATTACTAGTTTTGAGCAGTTTTAATGTTTGTTGTAGACATTCATTAATAAATGCTAATAATTTAATTTGAGATTGTTGTAAAAATGCAAAAAAATTTCTATGTGAAATTACTCTTGTGCTTGGTTTGTGTCACTTTTACTTTTTCCAGTGTTAAATGTTCTTTTTGACACGTACGGTAAATTTGTAGATTTTATCGCTAACCACAAAATGGAAATTTTGGTTTGAAATTCATTTTCTAAGGCATGATCAAAATTAATATCACAAACCAGTCTGAGTCATTTGTTGAAGCTGTTAATAAATTCAACGACTGGCACATGTTACTCCTTTTTTAATTAAGACATTCTCTTGCACACGTGTTTCATACTTACTTAGCAGCTGTAATAAATATTGATACAACTACTAAAAAGGTAAATGCTATATGATTCGGATTAGTGATGATAATATGCCACGACGACATTCAGTAAAAATTCTACACAAAATAAACAAAATATTATTTTAGTTTATGTCCACTTCACTTAGGTTAAAAATGAATGCTTGGAAAGTAAGGTAATCCTTTTTTTTCTTTTCTTACTTAACTTACACAAAGGCAGACTTTTTATTTTTATTTATTTATTTTTACATAGAAATGAAAAATAATTTATAAAAACAAGCAGAGCAAAGAGTGAGCTATTCAGATTTTATCTTGAAAATTAATTTATTTTTTTAATAACTTGAAAAAAAGTGTCATGGTCAGCATTTGAATGGATGTATTATACATTGTACAATACATTCTTTTTCACAGGAAACTCTCATTAAAATGATCAGGATAGGAAATGATTGTTTTTTGTTTAATATTCATTTGTCTCTAATTTTTAAGAAGAGGTTTTTTTTTTTTTTTTTTGCTTTTATTAAAAACAAATTCTATTTGACCTTTCTGCAATCTCTTTTTTTTTTTTTTTTCAAATTGAAAAAAAAACTTCCGGTATATTTAAAAAATATTTTTCAATTTAAAAAAATAATTACATTGCAATAAACGCTCAGTAGAAATATCATTTATTAAATAAAAATTGCTTACAGAGAAAAAAAAAGATTAATTTTGAGAGTATTATTGCAATTCAAAATTCTAAAATTAATTACAAGGTCTGCTGCTAGGAAAGTTGGTT